TTCACAGCCTGTAAAGTTATAGCACCAAAAACGATATTCAACTTCTGCTTAAGAAAGAGTTTATATATTTATCGCATGTTATACCTTGTATCCAGTATAGACAAAATATGATTTTAACTAATATTTTTAATTTATCTCTTCAAACAGGTGTAGTGTCTGATATGTGGAAGATGGCTAATGTAATTCCTATTTTTAAAACAGGGGACAAGTCGTTACCGTCAAATTACCGCCCAATAAGCCTGACCTCAATTGTAGGCAAATTAATAGAGTCAATTATAGCTGAGATTATAAGAAGCCATCTCGATAAGCATAGCTTGATTAATGATACTCAGCATGGATTCACAAGAGGCCGGTCTTGTCTAACTAATTTATTAACTTTCTTCGGTAAAGCTTTTGAGGCTGTTGACCACAATAAAGAATTTGATATTATTTACTTAGATTTTAGTAAGGCTTTTGATAGAGTTCCGCACCATAGACTGTTAAAGAAAGTGGCAGCTCATGGCATTGGGGGAAAAGTGCTCTCGTGGATCGAGTCATGGCTCACTGACAGGAAGCAGAGAGTGTCCATAAATGGGGTTAAGTCCGAGTGGGGATCTGTAACAAGTGCGTTCCACAGGGATCAGTCTTGGGCCCGTTGTTGTTTATAATATATATCAATGATCTTGATGAGGGAATTACTAGTGATATGAGCAAATTCGCCGATGACACAAAGATAGGTAGGATAATTGATTCAAACGTAGATGTTATGGAACTTCAGGAGGATTTAAACAAACTCTATTCTTGGTCAGAAAAGTGCAGATGCAGTTCAATGTAGATAAATGCAAGGTTCTGAAGCTTGGGAGTGCCCATAACCCTAGTACTTATAAGTTAAATGATGTAGAACTTAGCCATACAGATTGCGAAAAGGACTTGAGGGTTATGGTGAGCAGCAACCTTAAACCAAGACAGCAATGCCTAAGCGTACGTAATAAGGCAAATAGATTACTGGGATTTATATCAAGAAGTGTAAGCAACAGAAGTCCAGAGGTCATACTGCAGCTTTATACATCATTAGTAAGGCCTCACCTAGATTATGCAGCTCAGTTCTGGTCTCCGTATTACAAAATGGACATAAATTCGTTAGAAAACATTCAGCGTAGGATGACTAAATTAATACATAGCATTAGGAATCTTCCTTATGAAGAAAGATTGAAGACTCTTAAGTTACATTTACTTGTTAGACGAAGAATGAGGGGAGACCTGATCGAAGTGTATAAGTGGAAGATAGGTATTAATAAAGGGGATATTAATAAGGTCTTGAGGATGTCTCTCCAAGAGAGAACCCGCAGTAATGGATTTAAATTAGATAAGTTTAGATTTAGAAAGGACATAGGAAAGTATTGGTTTGGAAATAGGGTAGTTGATGAGTGGAACAGTCTACCTAGTTGGGTTACTGAGGCTGGGACTTTGGGTAGTTTCAAATCTAGGTTGGATAAGTACATGAGTGGGAGGGGTTGGATTTGAGTGGGACTTTCACATCAGAGCTTATTTCTTGGGTGGCATTGAAAATTGGGTTGGGCAAATGTTTTGTTAGTGGGATGAATTGTAAAGGACCTGCCTAGTATGGGCCAGCAGGCCTCCTGCAGCGTTCCTCCTTTCTTATGTTCTTATGATTTAATTCCTTATCTAAGTAAATAAATTCTTGTTAAAAGCAACTAAGCATTTTTTTTCTGACGCTTTTTGTTAAAAAGAAACAGTTAAATCTAATAATACACTTCACCCATGACAGCAAATAGGTACAGTTCTGTCACCGCCTCGTCTCCCCCCCCCCCAACACTCTTGTTATGACACACGGATTACGATGTGTACTCTGCTTTTGTTTTAAATAGCAAGACTCGAATATTTGTCCAAAGAAACGTTGTAATACATCATGGTTGCTATTTTACCATAAAACTGCAGTCTTTTTACAGTAATTTTAGAGGCCACATTGTGTTAATTATAATATACAGCAGTATTCGGCTATCCTATTTCATGTGGTACTTAACTTTAATCATACGAAACTGGCAAACCAGTATCACATCGAAAATGCTGAAAAGGTATCTATGACCATTTGCATATCAAAAAATTATTTTACATGGAAGTGTGTGGTTGTGCAAAATAGTTTGTTAGTTTGTTTAACGAACATGTGGACCATTATATCTACAATTAACCTGTACACTAATCCCTAAAACATAAATTAAATATCTTTGCAGAGTATATACTGAAAAATATACACCTCTCAGTGTTGTGCGAAAGGAGTGTGAAACAATGGAGTATTGCGCTGATACAGGGTATTTCGAATAAGACAAAGCCATCACTGTGTTGCCCAAAAAACCCTAAATGAAACAACTCAGGCATTCCCACTGTTACCGTTGGATTACCGATCTTTTTAAGTGAAGTGATTCCATTAAAAGTTGCACTTATCTATTGGAAAAAATTTCCTTTCAACATTATGAAATCATTTTATAAATATCTTCGTACGTGTATTTCTAATCTTATCTCAAAAATGGTAATTTATTTTCTATTACACGGCTACATAACAGCATCGTATAATTTTACAAAGTAAAGGTAATTAAGTTACTAGGTCATACAAAACTGGGTAAACCCTTCGTCTAACATACTGACTACTACGTCTAAAACAAACTAGCCTTTGATCTAACCCTACTCTCAATGTTATTAACTGTGATTCAAAAGAATGACTTTACATCGATGCCATATTAAAGATGGAGTCACACCAAGAAGGGCAAAGAATCTGAGTATATTCAACTAACTCATAATTTGGAGAGGAAACTTCAGACGACATTTTGGTTCGTCCTGAATCATTATAAAATCGCGAGTGGTCCAGGAGACCGAAACTTCATCTTAAGGTTCCTCTCCAAGATGTGTTGCGAGGTGTTCCTAGCACAGAACTGTGACTTACTTTCTTTTGTCTGAAGATAACTCTCTGAACATTGTGTAAAAGCTCTGAAGTTGAATTATTGGTCATATTTATCTTAAATGTTCAAAATAAAAATACTTTTGCATGATTCTTTTGAAACAAGTTATCGTACTATAAATAATTTTACATAACGGGAACGGCAATAAAATCACTGAAAATATAAGAAGCATTCTGCAACAGCTCTTAACAATAACCACCAATTACAGATTTCTTTCACTATGCTTAAATATTTCATCCTTATAGTAAAACATTTATTTCAACAAGACCCACTACATATCCCAAATGATGCCTATCTTCAGTTTCTATACATTTCCTTCACTTGCTGATGATGAATACATGTCATAGTGACATATCCTGATATTCCGAGTTTCTGTTAATTATTTTGACAATTTTTCTCCTCCTATAACAAAACTGCTCTAAGTTTTTCAAACTTCGCCGTTTGCTGTCAAATTTATATATCAAAATATAATTGGCGATTTTTTTCTTCAAATGCGAACATGTTTCCTCAAACTATTAAAATTGCCTCAGCCTGTTTTACATAATACAGGTCTTTGTCAATACTCTTCACAAACCACCTCAAAGCAATGGCTATTGAGCCAAACAAATCACGTGTTTCAGAGTCCTAATTTTTCCAACGAGTTCAGTCAGGTTTTCTGTTTTCTTGACACAAGGCAAGTCATGGCTGCCATTGTATCGATACTTTACTACATATACTATGTGAAGTCCTGTCGCCTCTCTCTTCATAGCTCATGATGCATGTCTAGGCCAGTCAACTGAGAGTATCAAACATATCAAGCTTAATGCACCAAAATAACGTTTTACAGATACTGAACAGCAAAATATTTAATTTATATCTTTTATGGCTAAAGGCAATGGTAAATAGTGAAAAAAAAAAACTTTTACTATTAATGTCAATTACATGACCAGTTGCCAATAGTATACGAAATTAATTGCTTATGTTCATTTACCGTTAATTCAGTTACTATAAACTTTGAAGAAACTGTGATGTCAGGGGAGGAGGTGCCACCTTGTACGTACAGTACAATGATCTTCCTTAGCTTGCGAGAAACTACTATGAAACAATAGCTTACTGCATAATACTATCTTTCGGTAGCAGGGTAGTTAAATTATTCAGTCAGGATTGTATGGGTTTTTTAACTATTACAAGATAAAAATTAAACATTTCTAAATATTAACATCTTAATAAACCTTCTTGAAGAAGTAAATTTATCACAGGAGAGCCTAGAAAGTTATGATCCCGACATACAAAATACTATGAAGACTCGACAATGTGAAGAGATATAAATTGTTTGAAAGGCGAAGGACCGGATACAAAAGGAAATAAAAGGAAAGACGCAGGACATGCTCCGTTAACTCGAGGAAAGGTAGAAAATGGAACATGGATGAGTAATTAATACAGACGCAATAAACGGCTTAAAGAAAAGGTACGATAAAATACAAGGGGCTTATGAATTTAGTGTTATCAATCATGTGTACCTGGGAGGCAGGGATCAAAGGTTAAGACTTGACGCCTAACGACTGCAACTAAGGGAAACCAAGCGAGTTCAGTACACTTAAAACAGTGGGACACCACAAGTTTAGCTCAATTATTTAACGATGAATAGGTACAGTAATTTCACATACACACAACACCGATAAAAATAACCTTAATGTAAATTACTGTTACTCTGTTCTTAAAATCAAGTTTCTAGTTGTTTAATATGTTGATTAATGCCTTAATGATCCTAGCAATCGATAAGACTTAAACTAATCAAACTATATATATAATGAAAGGATGTTTATCTCAAGAGTATACACTTTAAGAAATTCAAGAAAACTATTTAGTCTTAATAAACTAACACTAATTTAAAGCAGCATTATTAATGTACGTAGGAAGCAAGTGGCATCTCAGTTGTCAATTATCATTCTTCAGTAACTAGCATTACCCTGACTGTAGGGCATAGTATTTCACTCATTTGGAGAAGTGATTCACATAACAATACTCAGAAGCTAGCATGGTGCCATTCACACTACGCATTGGATGGAGTGTGCTACGTCATTGCATCCATGGATATATAAACCGAAAAGTCACCGCGCTAGGCATCACAAACTTTTGGTATACTCTGAAGGCAAGATGCACGCCGGACTCTCTCTCCTCGTCCTCTGCCTCGCTCTTGGTATGACTCAGTGCTTAATTTCGTCCTAGTCTTTGGTATTCACAAAAGCATGATAATATTTGTATTTCATTACTTTGTTGTTTAGATTAACCCAAGTCTATGAATATCATGTAATGTAAATAATATTTGTTAGTTCTTAAAACGGAGGTGTGAATCACAATAACTTCGTGTGAAGTTTTTCTTCACATTAATTTCTCTGAAACAAAATTATAAAGAGATATATCGTAAACAAATCTAGAAAGTTTCATTAATGCAACTGGAAACAGACTTTGTTTCAACTGCAGACATATGCAGTCTTGCACCAAATCTGCATATATGTATTAGTTTAGCCTTTGAAACAATGTATAGATTCGATCTTTGCCGAATGCAAATTTAACATACAAAGTCAAGTAAAAGAGTATGCGAAGCAATTAATTAATTAATCATCTATTTTTGTGATTAATATAATTCACATTAAAGCTACCAGAATTTCCTAAATACTCTTACAAGTATAAGACTTACCACAGCTCGTCTAAGATTTAAGGCTACACTCAAAATAATCCACTAAAATGCTGTGAAACTGAAAAAAAAAACAATGACTTGAGATGTTTGATATATTTACATACAGAATCATAACGCATCTTAAATTAGGAAATTTATGATTTATCCTTTTTCATGTTTGTGTGGATTTTTGTGAATCATTTCGTCTTTTTCTGACAGGCTTCGCTGTCTGCATCCCTGAAAAGGCAGAGAAGGAATCTGAAGAGAGCCCGAGAGTAAGTCCAATAAATTTAATCGTATTAACAGCACTAGCATGTGATACACCTGTACATCATATAATTCATCATGTCACAGGCCTCTAATATGTTCATGGCTGTCACCAGGACAAGCGAGGATTTAATACAGCCTTCACTGCCGGGTATGGAGCCGGTGGCGGTTATGGTGGCGGCGGTGGCTACTTGATTGTTGGGTCTGGTGGAGGAGGCGGCCACGGACCCACTTCTGCTGACATCGCCAACCAGGCTGCTGCTCAGGCTTCTGCTGCTGCCGCAGGTCTTCAAGGAGCCTCTAGTTCAGCTGCGCGTGCCGCAGCTAATCAGGCTGCTGCAGTGTCAGTAGCCGCGGCACAAACTGCTCAAGCCGCAGCTGCACAGAAGCAGTCCCAAGCCGCACAAATTACACAAGCTGCACAGGGTGCGCAAGCAGCAGCCTTTGCAGAGTCCTCTCTCTCCGGGCAAGCCTTTGCTGCTGAGCAGGCTGCAGAAAATACCTACAACTTGGCCGTTGCTGTAGCTAATGATTTGGCTGCTGCCCGTCAGGAGGCCCGAGCTGTCACTGCCCAGGCATTCAATGCTCTGCAGGCTTCCCGAGCAGTGAGAGCTGCACAGGAGGCCATGGCTTGGCAAGCCCAGCAGGCGGCCGCCTCCCTCCATCAACAGCAAGTTGTTGTCATTAGCGACTTGCAGTCTGCACAGGGAGCAGCAAATCAAGCTCAGGCAGCAGCTGCCAAGGCTTTAGCTAAGGCTAAGGGTACCGGGGGTGGCTATGGAGGCGGCTACGGCTACGGCCACTAAGGATACAAGAACACATAGGGGACACCACCTGATACTCCCCAGTCAAAAGGCTCACGGAACGGAGGCCAGTGGTAAGCGGTCGTCTGGGGGAACTGGAGTAACTTTATACTGTGAAGCATTCTCATAACATTACGTTAATATATGAATTTCCTAATAAAACGTTGGGTCAATGCTTAATTTCTCTGCATGCTATCATTTACAATCCAAAACTAATTATTTTTTAATAATCAACAACACATAACTGCCCCATAAGTATTTATACTAAGGTGTGTATCTTAGTGTGTAATTATATATAAATATTATATTATATATATATATATATATATATATATATATATATATATATATATATATATATATATATATATATATATATATATATATATATTATATATATATATATATATGTATATGTATATGTATATGTATATGTATATATATATATATATATATATATATATATATATATATATATATATATATATATATATATATATATAAATGCCGAATAGATAAAACTGGTCATTTAGCAAAAACTCATTTAAAATTAAGTCCTCTCTAAAATTTTCTCTTTACGTTTCAAGATATATTTTTTCATTTATGTTAATGTATAAATTAGTAGTTTCGTAACAAAAGAATCTTAGAAAACTTATCTAACCTTATTATAAGCCCAATTTAATTTTGCCTAATCCAACTAACTATATTTTAGGTAAGTTTACTATAATTTAATAATAAACAAACGCATTGAAATATATACTATTTGTTTCGTTAAGTTCAAAATGATTTTTGCGAAATTACTGAATACATAAATTTTAGCTTGCCTTATTCGGCAAGAAGAGCGTTGCTATTTAAGCCATATTTTTTTCGTTAGGTTCAGAATGATTTTTGTGAAATTACTGAATACACAATTTTATCTTGCCTTATTCGGCAAGAAGAGCTTTGCTATTTAAGCTAAAATCACAAGTTTTACCTATTCGGCACATTATATATATAAATTATTGGGGGTGGTAGAAGAAAATATTCAAACAGCTCCGGGGAGAACCTTGAGTTTTCCCTGAGGTACGTTTATTGTCTTCTCTGAGGATGAGGGTCCCCAGTCAAGTTCTAGAGGTGGTACCTCCCTATATTATTTATGTATGTATGTATGTATGTATGTATGTATGTATGTATGTATGTATGTATGTATGTATGTATGTATATATATATTTATATATATATATATATATATATATATAATAACACACTGCCACTATGAGTTTTTAGCCCACCATGAGGCAGGCCAAAGCAGCATGGGTTCGACTCCTTGGCTAGTCGCAGTGTTGATACTGATCAATACCACTTGTTCGTGGGTACAACAAAAAATATATATATATATATATATATATATATATATATATATATATATATATATATATATATATATATATATATATATATATATATATATACATTATACATATGTCTGTTTAGAATTCGCAGAATAAGCGAAATATTCAAACACAAACTTCAGGTCGTAGGAGACTCGAACCTACGAACCTTGGGACATGGTAAGCAGTGCTATATAATATATATATATATATATATATATATATATATATATATATATATATATATATATAAAATATATATATAAAATATATATATATAATTTCAACACGTCGGTCGTCTCCCACCGAGGCAGGGTGCCCCGAAAAAGAAACACTTTCACCATCATTCACACATAATCACTGTCTCTGCAGAGGCGCACATACGACAGTTCAGATGTCACTCCAAACAGCCAATATCCCAACCCCCTCGTTTAAAGTGCAGACATTATATTTCCCACCTCCAAGACTCAAGTCCGGCTAACCAGTTTTCCTGAATCCCTTCACAAAATATTACCCTGCTCACACTCCAACAGCTAATCAACTCCCAAAAACCATTCGTCTCCATTCACTGCTATGTAACACGCTCACACACGCCTGCTATATGTACAAGCCCCTTGCACACAAAACCTTTTACCCCCTTCCCTCCATCCTTTTCTAGGATGACCCCTACCCCTCCTCCCCTCCACTACAGATTTATATACCCTCCAAGTCATCCTATTTTGCTTCGTCCTCTCAAAATGATCAAACCACCTCAACAACCCCTCCTCAGCCCTCTGAATAATACTTTTAGTAACTCCACACCTCCTAATTTCCACACTATGGATTATCTGCATATTTACACCACACTGGCCTTAAACACGACATCTCCACTGCATCCAGCCTCCTTCTTGCTGCAGCATTTATAATCCATGCTTCACACCCATATAAGAATGTTGGTACCACTATGCTCTCATACATTCCCATCTTTGCCTCCGTGGATAACGTTCTTTGTCTCCACAGATACCCAATGCTTGACCCACCCTTTTTCCTTCATCAATTCTATGGTTTACCCAGTCCTTCATAAACCCATCTGCTGACAAGACTACTCCCAAATATCTGAACATATTCACTTCTTCCATACTCCCTCCCTCCAATGTAATATCCAGTTTTTCTTTATGTAACTCGCTTGATACCATCATCACCTTACTCGGCAGGCGAAAGTGTAATTTATTTGTTTACTGTGATTAAGTTAGTGTTAGTAGGCTGCATGTGCAGAGGAGGCGACTGCAAGTGGGAAAAAAGAACCATATACAGAGTCGACAACCCCATTAAGTTGGTCTCTACAACCTTAGTCATAATAAAAATTCGCTCTATAGAATATATGAACTGCCCTGTAAAATGATTAAAAAAATCCTTATTTGAATTTATATTATCTTGTGAATATAATCCAGCACTTTAAATATATAAAACATGGCTACAGTTACAATACTTAAACTTGTACGAGTTGCCCCCAAAACAAAAATGGAAACCTAGCTGAAATTAACTAAGTACAGGCCCATCTCTTAACGTGTCTTTGTTATCAAAAATATCTGAAAACGTAATAAATAAACGAATATACGCACACTTATCGCTATACAAAATATTTTTAACTCTTGCCAGTTTGGCTTCAAACCAGGAAAAAGTACCAATGATGCTTGACTGTCTATTCAGATCTAGAAAATAATAAATATTCAATCGACTTCTTTATTAATCTAACAAAAACTTTTGACACTGTAGACTGCAACATCTTCCTGCTGAAACTAGAACACCATGGAATCAGAGGTCATGCTCTTACTTCCATGAAGTCCTATCTTACGGTCTGACGTCAGCCTGTGACTATCATTGACACAATCTCATTTACCAAAATTATCAACCCTGGGTACCACAGGAGGTAGCGTTCTTCGGCCAATATTAGTTCTTATCCATATACTGCAAATGACCTACCAATTGCCTCCCAGGAACTTTAACCAGCCTTCTTTGCAAGGGGATCCAAGTTGGTCAAAATAGACCTAAAAATAAGGAAAACTTTGTTTGGCAACGGAGTTGTGGGTGAGCAAAACAAAAGACGCGAAATTTGAGGGGACATGACTAGTTTACAAATGAAAAAGATTAATAAATCAAGGTTATGTTACGTAAGGTTTGTCAGTAAAATAGGAGCAAGTGTTTCCTGACTCGGGTCTTAACAATTGATAGCCCGCAGCTGGAGCTTTTGGTCATTTGACCGAGGCCTTCAGCTAGTCCACCCCTTTAAAAATTATGGTTATGGTTAAAACCATTTTTGATAATAAATAGAGGTTATAAATAGCGTGTTGAAAATATATACCCAAGATAGGCCTTACAGCAACAGATCCAAGTGTGAGAAATTTAGTGTTAGGAAGGATATTGGGGAAGTACTGGTTTGGCGATAGAATTGTAGACGAATGGAAGAAACTTCCAGGCAGCGTCAATGACACAAGAACTTTGGATAAATGTTAATACAAGTTTACGGGTACATGAGGGTGTGGGTGTGTGTGCGAGTTTGACCTGCCAAGCATGGGCCAACTGGCTTGCTGTAATGTTCCTTCATTCTTGTATTCTTGTTTGGATGAAGTCTTTCACCAGCATCACGAAACCTCTCTTTGAAAAGACTAAATAATGAGAAAACATGCGAAGCTTAATTATACACTTACTGTTACTTCCATCGTGGACAAACTTACACGATGTGAGCATGAATCTCCTCTAAATGATGTACGTAATTTTGGCGGCATTTTCCAGCTTCACAAATTTTCTAACACATATTTTGAGCTTTTGCTTTAAAGTAGCATCACTAAAGGCAATTTGTATATTTCTTTGTCACATTGCTGTTTATTGTGAAAACACTACGGCTCAGATTTTTCCAGAATTCTGTCCGGAAATGCACAAAACCAATTCGACTCTCGAAACACTTCCATCACTGGTCTCCGGGCTCGTGTTTTATCAACCTTCGACTTCTCGTGTCATGTTTAAAAACTTGCATTCTTTAATTATTATTTATAAATAAATAATATGCAGTTATATTATTTAAAAATCATTATTTGTTTAAATATAATACTCATTCGTAAAATCTGCTAATATAAGTTTATTTGCAAAGAAACACAACGTACTGAACGTCGACTTTCCAAATAAATAAATTGAATGTTATATCTGTCGGTGATTTTTTAATAATATGTAATTTAACAATACGTATATATTAGTATGACACACAAGATGTGAGAAATGACACAAAAATCTCGAGTCTGAAGGGAAAGCCTCACTGAGATAGTTTGTAAGGTATAATGCCTACCCACACCAGTGGCCATTAAATCTAGGCCAATTGCACACTAGCTTTCAAAATATTAATCTCTAGAATAGGAATTAATATAAATTTTCGGTGCATATATACACTGAGGTACATATCCCTCAATGATATACCAGGGCCGGCTCCATAATTTCTATATAGGAGAGGCTTAGGGGTGTCACACTGATTGAAAGTGGACTTTGGGACTTGGCTTGAAACTACATTTGCAGATCAATAAACACCAAAGCTGTCTAAGGATTCTTATTATTATTTTTTATTTTTGGTGGCTATGGAAGGCTGGTGAAGATTATGGGGAGGGTAGTGGGGTGAAGCCTACCAACCAACCCCTGGGCGCTCCTACTGGTATATTCTGTAAGCGAAGGAAACCATTAGGTATGCAAATTAATTAAATCTCAAACCTACGGGCACAAAGAAAAATGAAAAATAATCCTTGCTATG